CGGCGGTGATGATGGGCTCGAAAGCCGGCCTGGTGACTCGACTCCGGATGCGTATCCCTCACATGGTCTCCTGTCACTGCATCGCTCACCAGTAAGTTTTTTTTTTTTGTTTTTTTTTTTTTTTTCGTATTTGCACAGATGGTGATTCGGGACAATACTAGCTATCACTCATGCTGGTTTGTTTGATTTCTCCCCGTTTTCTTTTCCATGTGCAGAGAGGCGTTGGCAGCTCAGGCGGCGGCGGAGGACATGCCGTTCTTCAACATCGTCGATGATGTTATCAAGGAACTGGCCGAGTTCCTTGGTCGCTCAGGACCGTGGCACCAGCGCTTCCTCAACCTCCAAGACGTCTTCCTCTCGACGTGCTTGGAGCTGCAGGGTATTCACCAAGTCAGATGGCTCTCACGTGGCGAGGCCATCCGACGACTGGTGAAGGTCTTGCCAGCCATCGTCGTCATGCTGTCAGAGTTTGCCGACGACCGTCTTTACAAGATTTTCACGAGCTACAGGTTTTGGTTTGTGCTCATGTTTCTTGCTGATGTCCTTGAGCAGATGAACATTCTCAACAAGACTTTCCAGAGCCGCGAGGTAAGTTTCGTCACATGGTGTTTCTAAACCGCTACTGACAAACCATTGTTGTCTTACCTGCATTCTCAAACCCCTTCCCGCAGCTGGACATGTCAACGATTTACGCGTCGGTCTCCCGCGTGACGTCCCTCCTCGAAAGCCGCTACGTCGACTGCGGCAACGACTTTAACGGGGGCCCAAAAGACCTGCTCATGGCCTTCCTCGACCGTCACGGTCCTGGTGGTACGCGCAGCGTCACCGTTGAGGGCATCGACTCCGATGGGCGCCCGAGTCGATTCACTTTCGACCTGCATGAGGAGCCATTGGATGGCTACCCGGGTGAGGGCAAGCACGACGATTGTGACGTGGCGTGCATGGCGCTGGCCGAAGGCATGGTGCAGAACCTGGACGAGCGGCTGGGGGACTTGAAGCAGCTGTGTGGTTCGATGCTGTTCTGTGCGGACCAGTGGCCCAAGGGGTGGGAACTTGCTCCACGGAAGGCCCAATGTCTAGAGTGGTTCGGGATGATGGTCGACTTCTACCATGCAGGGGAAGCCGAAGAAATTCTTCCAGGTATCGTCTTTAACCCCGAGGCTTGCACGATTTGTTGATCTGGTCCGCTCTACCCTACTGTACTAATACTCTCCTCGTTCTCCCTCCTACCCTTCCCCTACTAGCAGGCATCAACAAGCGAGCGGCTGCGCTGGAGATCCCCCATTTCTGCCCCGTCCTTGTCGCCCTGCCAAAGGGTGACAAGGGTTTCTACACCGGCTTGACGACCATGCTGAAGTCTCCAGACTGGGAGGATAGCTTCCCCAATCTCGTCAAGCTGTGGTGCGCTACGGCAGTTCTTCCCCTCAGCACAGTGGAATGTGAACGAGGGTCCTCCCGCCAGAATGTGATTAAGAGCTGGCTGCGGGGCAGCATGAAGGACTCACGCCTTCGAGACTTGATGTGTATGAGCCTGCTAGACTACGACCCGGACTGGGATGCCATCATTGACATCTGGAGAGCCTACAAGAAGAGGAAGCCCTACATCACTGCCCCACAGAGCAGAGCCCAGAAGAGTAGGCAGGGTAAAGAGAAGGAGGACGATTCCCCTATAGTTCACGACAGCGTGCAGGCAGAGGAGGATGCTTAAGTAGGTCCTAGTATGCCCATGTTAAATTGTAAACCCTTGTCTTTAAAGAATATAGTAATAATGGGCATTTAGTTGAACAGTGTGTTTTTTGTACGTAACTCTGTTTTTTCAGCGCAAAATTTTTACAACACCCTGATTGATCAGCGTAAGTTTCTTTGCGAGGCCTGAAAAAACAGTGAGGCAAGGGGGGGGGGGGGGACCCTGAGCGATCAGCGTGCCCCAAAACGAATCCGAGGCCCTGCTTTGGACCCTTGCCTCAGAGGTTGGACTAGTAGTGCCACCCTGAGCTGTGTGTCTCTTGCTATTCGCTGCCCCTTGTCTAGCCTAGGGGGTGTGTCAACATATAATTTGTATATGTTATAAGCTAGCTAGGTGCATGCTCATATAGAGTACAAGCCCGTAGGTTATATCCTCTTGTACCACCTTATTCTAGCCAATTTGTTATACTCTAAGAGGAGACATTACCATTTGTGCAATTAGTCAATTTGTGCACAGGAGACCTTACCATTAGTGCGCATGCCATGTGGCAAAAACATGGGCAATTTTTGCATGCCTAAAATTTCAGTGTGAATGTTATAGAAATCAGCTGAGGTGCAGCAAATCTAGGCGTGACAGAGTGCAGTACGTAACCTACACGCGCAAAGCGGTGCAGCAGTGTTCGTCACCGGAAGATTTTCCGTGGGAGTCCAAAAAATGTCGTGGATTTGACCCACACCCCTCCTGAGGGGCCCAGCATGTGGGGCAGGCTGAAATTCGCAGGGCAGCATTTTTTTTCCATTCGATTGGATTCCTGGCCGGGGCTGGTACGTGTGAGGAGCTATGGAATCCTTTATGAAAAAGTGCCAGCTGTGTTGGTCCTAAGCTGCGGTTGTTATTGAACGGACCTCACTTCAGAGTATTTTTTCCTGGCATCCTGAGTTATGCTTGGCTGGTTTGGTCCCTGGGTTGGTTTTAGATCGCTCGTCGTTGACGAGCTTCGACCTCGCATGATACAGTGTTGAAAATGTATTTAACTACTGCAACCCCTTAATTGACGTTGATACACCACACTTAGCAAAACACTTCCCCCTTCCCCCCCCCCCCAAACCCCCCATTGGTACTAACTGTATGACAGAAGCGCAGACGGGCAGGCGAGAAACGTTCCATGGCGAGCAGGCATTTGAAAGTGCATTTATGATGCGAGTAACTAGCCAGCACAGGTGTGGTCAGCTCTTCTCGGGATCGTCCCTCCACGTCGGGTCGCTTCCTCATGAAGTCGAAACGGATTTCATTTCGCACTTGCGAGGTGCATATGCCGCCACATCACCAAATCGCAACTCGCGCTTCCAGCTGCTCCATGCAGACGCAAGTTCCGGATCGCTTATTGATAACGTTCACCATCCCTCATGCCGCACATCATGACCCCCTCACGTTGCCAGACTGTCGGTGACTTGGGTTCGATTTGTTCCCACGAGGGTGTGTGGTTATAATACAGCACCCATGCCGCGTTGGACTTCAAAAGTGCCAGGTGCTGACATGTAACAGGTTGAGCACAGCAAATTGAAGGTTGACGCGGATCAAGCTGTAAGCGGATCAAGTTCGCGGCTGAGAGGAAGCGATGTGAAATCGAAGGATGGAAATCGAGTGAGGAATCAGGTGAGGAAAGTGGCGGAGGAAGGGAGTGAGGTGGGACTCGAGAGGAGGGAGTGAGGGGGGGCCACCGCCGCTGATGTGTTTGGGTGGCGGGCAGTTGGTGGCGCGTGGTTTGGATTGTAAGGGGTGGAGGGGATAGATTCGGATTCATTGCGCTTAGGCGCACTTACGTACCACTGGACTTCTGGCGGGCCAGGCCATCCCGGCAAGGCCTCGGGGAACCGGGGGGACCAGGGGGAGCAAAACTGCGCAGCTTCCAACATCGCTCAGCTTGGGGAGGCAAGAAGAGAAGGGGGGTGGCGGAGAATTGACCTGGTGGACAGGCTTCCAAAAGACTCCGCGGAGAGGAGGGAACCCTCGTCCAGCCAGAGCAGAGGGGGCTGCGTGCACCAGCTTTCGTGTCCCAGCCCAGGCTGAGGAGGAGCACCAGCAGCAGGATCAGCATTTTCTGTGAGCAGTGAGCAAACCACCAGAGCATAAAAGAGTGGAGCCATTCCACATTCTGGTAACAGGATCAGCAACCAGCCTTTTACCAACCAACTTGATCAGCATACCCTCGCCTTAGCGTCTAGTCAACGAGTAAGCAAGTCCCCAGGTTCACTCACAGGCGAATCGTAATACCTTCGCGTTTTTCTCTACAATGGATTACACAGGATCAGCCGCAGCAGTCTCCTCACCTTGGGACACGAATTGCGACAGCCAATGGGAGCGCTACACCTCGCTCTACCCCTCCACCCGTGCCGCTAATCTCTACGCCGACGGCAGCGGCGCCGCGAATCTCATTAACGACGCGGACGACTGCGATTCGGACTCAGAGCAGTACTACAACTCCCGCTTCTCCCTAGATTCCAACTCCTCGGATGGGAGCCGTCACAGCAGCGGCGCGTCGTGCTGGGAGGCCGAGCTCGCGTGCGACCCGGTGTGGGTCGACGACGCTCGTTCGCGGATTCGCCACGCGGCGCTCGCCGTCGTCGAGACGCAGCAGGCCGTCGCAGCCGCCAACTGGAAGCAGCGCTGCTTCGCTGACTTTTCCGACGACTGCCCGGAAACGGTTGACGATTTTTGCGGCTGCCCGGCCGCCGCGCAGCCATGCCCGCACGACGAGCTCGCCGCTTCGTACCGCGCGAAGTACGAGCCTGCTGAAGCGCGCCGAGCCTCCTCCCGTCCGTCTTCAGCCGGCGAGTCAAACCCTAACGTTGCCTCTCCACGCCGCGGCAGGAAGGGATTTTTTGGAAAGACGAGCGTGCGTAGCAGCGATGACGGCGCTTCCGAAGAGGTTTCGGGGTCCAGCAGCGAGCCGAAGGCGAAGAGCCATCGCAGGGGCCTGTCTTCGTACCTCTCTGGATGGATGTAACCCGTAGGGTTACCATCTTCTTATAGATACTAGCTAGTTGGAGGAGGCACTTAACAACAGGTTACGGGCGCGTGGCGTCCCCGTGCCTCCTCTCAGCCCTAAGGCGTGCTGCCATGTTTTCCCCGTATTGCGGGTGCCTTTTGTTGATGAATCCAGTTTACGGATCAATTTTCTGACTCACCTCTTTGAGGAAAAAAAAAAAAGAGTGCTAGCTAACCACACAGAGAGAATTATGAGTGCTTCCTATCTGGGCTCGTCACACATGCGTGAATTATGACCAAAACTGCCATAGGAAAAATCAGACTTACCGTATAATTTTGGCATGTGTGAAGTTCACTAGAGAGATCTGAGCTGAACGTGGACGTGGTTGGGTTGGGCCATCAGCAGCACACGCATACCACATGTCCTAGGGGTATAGCAGCAAACTATGGCGTGGGGGCGTGTCCCCCAAGCGTACTTTTTTGCTCAATAATACCCTGCCCAACCACTTCAGATTGATATTTGACCCTTCTGTCTCAAAAAGCACCTCACCCAACCGCAATCAGACAGACGCTCGGGCCGGGAGGGATACATCCTGACTGCATAATTGGGCCATCAGCAGAACATAAATGTGTGGTTGGGAGATTGCAGCATCCTAGTGCTTCTTGAGGATCCCACAATCCTGGCCAGCTGCATTAAAGATTATTTGTTAATGCAACAGGATACACACAGATAGTACAGATAGCACGCACAAGGGAAGAAGGATATATTACTGTCAACCATACTCCCAGCCAGACAGAACCAGGAGGGTGCCGGGAGTGGATGGACGGGGGCACAAGCTCGCCTGAGGAGCCTGAGTTTGAGAGAGAGGCGCACGCAAGCTCGCCTTGAGGTTATTGAGGGTGCAAGCTCACCTCGAGGTTATCGAAGCGAGTGAAGATGGCCGAGCAAGAAGCATTGTCCACCCCTTCTAACAGGTTGAGGATCTACCAGGGGAGGGGGAGAGGGGGGGGGTATATGCAAGGGGGTTTACGTGGAAGGGTGAACGAATGGAGGGCTGAAGGGAATGAGTAAGTACAGGAGGGTTTGGGGTTCTAATACGAGGGGGTTCTACCGTAATACGGCATGTTGCCCACCCCATGAACAAGTTGAGGATCTGCGGGGAGGGGGTATGCAACGGGGGTGTAATGAGTCGATTTTTGAGTCGACTCAAAAATCGTATGCAACGGGGGTGTACATGGAAGGGAGAGAGGCGACAGAGGGTTGGCACGTTTAAGACCCAATGCAAGGGGGTTTTTGTGGACGGGTGAGACATGACAGGGGGGTTGGGAAAGGGTAGAGAACAGGGGAAGAGGCCAGCAGAGGCGTTGTTCACCCACGCACAGGACACAAAAGGAGCAGCACGCACGCATGCAAGTTGACATGCTCGCACGCACCCACCTCAGCATAGAAGTGTGCGTAACAGGGCAGAGAGTAGAAAATGACCTCCCGAATGCCCCGGATCTGAGAAGCAGGGAAGAGGAGAAGGCAGGGGAGGGAGAGGGCAGGGGATTGAGACAGCAGGGGAGGGAGAGCGCAGGGGAGGGGAGAAGGAAGGGGAGGGGAGAAGGAAGGGGAGGGGAGAAGGAAGGGGAGGGAGAAGGCAGGGACAGGGGAAGGCAGACAGCGGAGGGAGGAGGCAGGGGCGGGAAAAGCTGGAAATACGAGCAGAGTGCTTCGAGCTGAATGGTGCACCAGCAGTAACACAGAAACTAGATCTGACCAGACTTCTCTTCACCAACACCACAGCGAACAATTACAGTGCGGAGATAAAAATGATACTTGAACCCTGTGTGGTGGTGGTACCCTGTTGTACATCAGTGGCAATACAGGCGCAGCTGCCACACACTGTAGCGGTGGTAGAAGTGCGGTTATTAGTGGTAGAAGTGCGGTTATTTGTGGTGGAAGTGCGGTTATTAGTGGAAGAAGTGCGGTTATTAGTGGTAGAAGTGCGGTTATTAGTGGTAGAAGTGCGGTTATTAGTGGTAGAAGTGCGGTTATTAGTGGTAGAAGTGTGGTTATTAGTGGTAGAAGTGCGGTTATTACTGGTAGAAGTGCGGTTATTAGTGGTGGAAGTGTGGTTATTAGTGGTGGAAGTGCGGTTATTAGTGGTAGAAGTGCGGTTATTAGTGGTAGAAGTGCGGTTATTAGTGGTGGAAGTGCGATTATTAGTGGTGGAAGTGCGATTATTAGTGGTAGAAGTAAGGAAATAGAGATGTAGCAGTGCTAGAAGGGCGGAACTGGAGATGACGTCGGTACCCTAGTACCCTGTAGCGGTGGTAGAAATGGGACCGTTCCGAGTAGAGCATGATGCGCCGCCGGTTCTGGAAGAACCACGCTCGGGCCCGGTGCACGTTGCGCTCGTCCGTGTATCTTTTGGGGAGAGGGGAGAGGGGAAGAGGGAGACGGGGAGAGGAAATGGGAGATAGGGGAGGGGAGATGGGAGATGGGGGAGGGGAGAGGGGGGGAGGGAGTGGGAGGAGAGCATTGAACAAGGTGAGAGGGAGGGCAGCCTCAAAGCAAGAACCAGGCACGGGCCCCGCGATGTGCACGTTGCGCTCGTCTGTGTTCCTTGAAGAAGCAGGGCGGAAGGGTGCGGCGGACGGGGGAGATGCGGGTGGATGAATCCTTGGGACGGGGGCGACGCGGGTGGATGAATCCTTGGGACGGGGGAGACGCGGGTGGATGAATCCGTGGGACGGGGGAGAGAGAAACTAAAGGAGATAAGTAAGGGGGCACGGAAGGGGTGTCAAGAGAGAAAGATGTCTAAATAGAAAAGAGGCAATGTGAGAGGTGGGAAGGAAAGAGAGAAAAAGGACGGCGAGGGAGGAGAAGGAGACGGAATGCAACGAGAGGAGACGGACGTGAAAGGAAAGGCTATCAGACCAGTAGGGCATAGCATACTCAAAGAGGAGGCAGAAAGAGAGATTCTCTTGCTTAAAGGAAAAGAGGACACAGGAGCTTCTTTCTTGAAGGGGGTGGAAGGAGAGAGATTGAAAGGTCTAGGTGATCGAAGGGGAAAGAACGGAGGTGAAAGAGAAGAACGAACTCGGAGAGGAGGCAGAAGGAGAGATTCTCCTGCTTGAAGAAGTTTCTGAGCCGTACGAATTCAAAGTAGGATTGCACGTAGACCAGCACGCCGCCCTGCGGGTTGAGTGGGGCAGAGAGCGGGAGGAGAGGTGAAACGGCAAGTGAACGCAGTGGTGCCTCTTAAGTGTGAAGGCAGACTCAAAGTAGGACTGCACGTAGACCAGCACGCCGCCCTGCGGGTTGAGTGGGGCAGAGAGCGGGTGGAGGGATGGGTGGGTGGGACGCGGCATGGGAAGAGCATGCGGGCAAACTCAAAGTAGGAGGGACAGATGCAGCGCATGTAGACCAGCATTCCGCGAGTGAGATGGAAGGTGGGTGGGTGACGCTTCGGGAAAGCATAGACATCGTTCTCTAACTTAGAGAATGATGTCACAAAGACCAACGCGCCGCCCTGCGGTGGTGGGGAGAGGGTAAAGCATTATGGGAATGCGATTGATGTCTCCATGCAGAGGGACGGGAAGGGGTATGGCAAATATTGGGAGACGAGAAAGGGGAGAAGAGTAGGGGAGAGGAGGAGACGTGGGGTAGAGAATGTAGGGTGGAAAAAGGGAGAGGGGTGGAAGGAAAGTTAAGTGCAAGGGTAGGATCGGAAGGAGGAAGAAAGGGAGGATAGTGGGAAGTGCAGGGAAAGGAGTCTAGTTTTGAGGCGTGCAAGGAAAAGATGCTGTTTAGTAAGAATTTCGAGGCGCCTAAAAAAAAACTAGATAGTGGGGAGTGGAGGGAAAGGGTGTTGGTTTGGTAAGGGAAGATCTAGATGGCGCTCACTTAACTGAGAGCAAGTTTTGAGGTGCCTCGGAGGCAGTTTTTTAGTCGACTAAAAAATCACTCGCAGGCAGCACCTGAGTTTGAAGTGGCAACGAGATAATATGAGAGCTCACTTGAACGGAGTCCCGGAGGCGGGGGAAGACGGCCGAGACAGGCAACTGGAAGAAAAGCGACTTCAGAGCAACCTTTGGGGCACTTGGGGCTTTGGGGCACTTGGGGCTTTGGGGCACTTGGGGCTTTGGGGCACTTGGGGCTTTGGGGCACTTGGGGCTTTGGGGCACTTGGGGCTTTGGGGCACTTGGGGCTTTGGGGCACCTCAAAAGCAGACCGTGTGAGCGTACCTGGACTGAGTCTCGGAGGCGGGGGAAGACGGCCGAGACAAAGAACTGGAAGCGCGCCTCTGCATAAGCACGTGAAGTGACAATGACGAGATGAGAGCTCACCTGAACGGAGTCCCGGAGGCGCGGGAAGATGGTTGAGACGAAGAACTGGAAGCGCGCCTCTGCTGCCGCTGTGATGGCCGTGCAGTCAACGCGGTCAAACACTTGTTGAATCTGCGGCACCACGAGAGCCAAGACCCCAGAGTACTCCGACCGCAGCTTCACCTGGAGGTGGATGGATGGAACAGAATGAGGCCGAGAATATCAATTGTAATGTGGCTGTGGCGTACGGACACGTGTTGGCAGCGCAGTCAACGCGGTCAAACACCTGAACGCGGTCAAACGCGGTCAGACGCAGTCAACGCGGTCAAACACCCGCTGGATCTGCAGCACCACCAGAGCCAAGACTCTGGTGTATGTATTCAGACCGCTGCTTCACCTGGAGGTGTTGGGAGGAGTGGAAAGAGGTCTGGAGGGATTGAAGGCCACAACGTAGCACACGGACACGGGATGGTGGCACAGTCAACATGTTCAAACACCTGCTGGATCTGCGGGGCCATCATGGCCAGCACTCTAGAGTACTCTGGCGCCATTTTGGAGAATCTGAAAAAAAATGACTCCACCTGCTGATTTTTGAGTCGACTCAAAAAGTCATTTTTGAGAATTCTAAAAAATGATTCCACCTGCTGGATCTGCGGGGCCACCATGGCCAGTACTCCAGAGTACTCTGACTGACCGCAGCTTCACCTGGAGGTGGTGAGTGGAACACCTGTTGAACGCGGTCAAACGCGGTTCAGTGTGTGGCTCACAGTGCTCACACATAGAAGATCATAAGGCGGCATAGGGACGCGTGATGTGATGTGATGTGATGTGATGTGATGTTTTGGTGATGTGATGTGATGTGATGTGTTGGTGATGTGTTGGTGATGTGATTGTGCAAACATGTATTCGGACTACGAGAGACAAGACTCAGGAGTGTATTTTTGAGGCGCCGCAAAACCAAGAGTCAGGAGTATTCGGGTTGTGAGTCCAGCGCTTGACCAGGAGAAGTCTTCACTCTTGCGTTATCCGAATCTGTAGGCTGAGGCTGAGGGCGTACCTTGCCTTTTGAGTCGACTCAAAAGTCATCTGGAGGCTGAGGCTGAGGGCGCACCTTGCCTGAGAAGTTGGAGCAGGCTCGGTGGAACAGCGCATTGATTGCTGCAAGAAGAAAGGGGGGGAAGGGGGGGATGGACACCAGTTGGATTGGGTGAGGGACGAGGAGAGACGGGCTGAGAAAACAGGATAGCCAGTAATGGGGAAGGGAGTGATGGGAAAGAATGGTGGTGGGAGAGGTAATGGGGGGCAAGCGAGGCAAAAGTGTTTAGGGTTTAGGGCAAAAGTGTGATAATTATCCAGTTTTTAGAGGTAATGGGAGCGATGGGAAAGAATGTTGGTCTCAAGAATAGAGTTTGATCAAAGAGGTGATGGGGGGCAAGGGAGGCAAAAGCGGGTTCATTGGACCTGTAGACGAGGTGAGGCAACGGGCACTGACGTGACGATCGACAGTGGCCTTTGATATGCGGAACCAGCCGTCTACCACAGGGCTGCTGACAGCAAGTAACCGACAGGGCTGCTGCAGAGCGAAGCCCTCCTTGGGAGCGAATGGGAGCAGAAGGCGTGCATGGGCGGTGGGTGTGCCGTGAGGCTTACAGGGGTGGACGCCTTGTGAGGCTTACAGGGGTGGGTGAATGCGGAGAGAATTATGGACTGCCTGTAGTGAGCCGCCCAGCCGTTGAGGTACCTGGGGGGTGGAGTGGAGGTGTAGAGGCCGGGGGGAAGCAAGAGAGGAGCCAAGGAAGGAAGAGAATGATTGACTGCCGGTAGTGTGCCGCCCAGACGTTGAGGTTACCTGGGGGTCGGATGGGCGATGGGGGGAAGTGGGGATGAGTGATTGGAAATGTAGCGGGAGTAGGGGAGGAGCAGGAACGTGAATAAGGGCGACGGCTTGTAGGAACACGATTCTGGAGGCGCCTAAAAAGTTTTATAGAAAGAGAGTGAAGTCGGCTTCACAGGCAGGCGCTGAGCTGTGAACACACAGGCAGACAGGCGGGAGAAGAGGGAGAAGAGGGAGAAGAGGGCAACACTCCCTCTTCTCCCTCCCCCACCTCGTTGCCCCCTCCCCCCCATCAGGGCTCACCACTCATTGCACACGCCCCGTGTTAGCCTAACTTCCCCTAACCACCCCTCCCCTCCCCTCTTCCCCTCTCCCCTCTCCCTGCTCCATTCACCACTCACCATTCTCGCACGTGCATGAAGTCCGTCACGTGCTGCTTCACTGGCAGCCTGTTGAGCTGAGAAAATACAGTCTCTCTCCCCCTCCCCTCCCCTTCCCTCCACTCTTCTCGTCAGCCCCGCTCCCCTCGCACTCTCACCATTCTCGCACGCGCATGAAGTCCGTCCCATGCTGCTTCACCGGCAGCTTGTTGAGCTGCGAGAACACCGACTCCATGTGCGCCCAGTTCTGCAGGGAGGGAGGGTGAAGTAAGCTGGGTATGGGGGTGACTTGTCGCAGTGGTTGGCACCACGCCTCTAGAGAGGCGCCATCCTCATGATGAAGTAGTCGGACCTGGGCTGCAGTGCAGCATCACCACCGGCAGCTTGTTGACCTGGGAGAATACTGACTCCATGTGCGCCCAGTTCTGCAGGGAGGGAGGGTGGGGTGGAGTGGGGTGGGGTGGGTTTGGGGTTGCATGAGGGTTTCGGGTTTAAGGTCTTGGGTTTTGGGTTGTCGCAGCGATTAGCAGCGATAGTGACGATATCCGCTCGAAGTCGGTGCGATGCTGCATGACCACTGGCAGCTTGTTGAGCCGTGAGAGCACCGACTCCATGTGCGCCCAGTTCTGCAAGCAAGGGGCGTGGCTGGCAGGGGTGAAGGCGGTAGTGGATGATTCTAGAACGCATGCCGAAGAAGACTATCATCTTTGAACGGATGGGGAAAATGGGTGTGTTTGTGTGTGTGTGCCAGCTCCGTATCCTCCTACTAGCACAGGGACTGCATGGTCACAGCACAGCCCAGCACAACCCCTCAAAACCAAACCCAACGCAACCCCAGCAGAAAGCGAACTGACACGTTTGAACGGACAGGATTCATCCGGCAGATCGAACGAGGAGAAGGACCAGCCTTAGTGAGCGTTGAAAGGACGTCAGCATGCCTGCATGAGGATGACGTCAGCATACCTGCATCAGGATGACGTCAGCTTGGTCCACGATGACAATCTGACGTGGCAGGGTGAGAGGTGGTGGGGGATTGGGGAGTCGACGTGAGAGAGTTGGATTGGGAGAGGGGATGGCAGGCAAAGGGAGGGTGGCGACGTGGAGGTAAGGCAAGCGATATCTTAATCTGCATGGCACAGCAGCAGCAGCAGCACCACCACCACCACCACCACCACTCATTGATTCCAACTAACATGGATTCCCGCATTGATTATGGACCGCACTGACCTCAATGGATGACAGAAAGTCCATGCATGTCCTTTTCACTGTCCTCCAGAGCCGAGCCTCTCCCAGCTTCCAGCATTGACGTGCATTGAATTACATTGACCAACAGTGACCAGCACGAACTTGCGTGCAGCACTGAACGCACCTCAATGGACGAGAGGAAGTCCATGTCCTTTTCGCTGTCCTCCAGCGCCTCTCCCAGCTTCTGTGGGAGTCAGGAGAGCGGGAGGTAAGTGGGATGGTGAACGAAAGGGACGCAAGGGATAGAGTATGGTACACATTTCAAGTGAAGGGCTTGGCATCGCATGGCATTGAACTGGAGAGATGGAAACGGAAGCGGGAAGCGGGCAGAGAGCAGGGAGGCAAAAGAAGGCGGCAAACTGGATGGCGGCAAACTGGAGGGCGGCAAAGGGCTCACGGTGACGAGGCCGATGGGTGAAGCAACGATGATGTCAGACTGGTAGAAATCGGTGTAGAGCTTTACGGACTTCCTGGGATGGTGATGGATGGTGGATAATGGATGATGGGTGGTGGGTAATGGATGATGGATGGTGGATGGCGGATGATGGATGATGGATGGTGGATGATGGATGATGGATGGTGGATGATGGATGATGGATGGTGGGTAATGGATGGTGGATGATGGATGGTGGATGATGGATGATGGATGATGGATGATGGATGGTGAGTAATGGATGATGGATGATGGATGGTGGATGATGGATGATGGATGATGGATGATGGATGATGGATGGTGGGTAATGGATGATGGATGGTGGGTAATGGATGATGGATTGCGGATGATGGGTGTCGGGGTGACGAGCAAACGGGCATGAGAGCAAGGAGGTGTAAGATTAGCTCACACAAAAATAGCACAGGCATGGCATGGCACCGCATGGCACCGCATGGCACCGCATGGCACCGCATGGCATGGCATGGCACCGCATGGCACGGCATGGCCTGGCACCGCGTGGCATGGCATGTCACGGCATGGCATGGCACGGCATGTCACGGCATGGCAAGGAACAGAGGAGGAGCCAGCAGTTACTTGGTGAACTTGATGCCGAGGCGGAAGTGGTCGTCGTTGTTGCCACCAAACATCGCCCGGTGGTCCACCGGCTTCAACCCCTTCTGCAACACCGCCGCCGCCGCCGCGGCTGCTGATGCATCCCCATCCCCCTCTTCTCCACCCCCACCCCCTCCCCTCCCCCCATTCTCTCCCCCTCCGCCCTCCTCCTCCTCCTCCTCCCCCGCGTCCCACGAGAGCCCCCTGCCCACCTGCTGCTGCTGCCTCCTCTTCTTCCTCTGCCTCGCCTTCTCCCTCTCCCCCTCGTCCTCCTCCTCACTCTCCTCCTCCTCGCTCTCCTCCTCTCCAAACTCAGCGAGAAAGCGGTCTAAATGCTCCACTGCAACCTGCAGGCACGGGAGTAGAGTATCGGAGACATGGGAATCACACGGGCACCAGAACAAGGATGTTGCGCTGGTGTCTCTTTGAGGCGACTCAAACATGATTTTTTAGGGTGTTTGAGGGACTCAACACACTCAAAAAGCAGGGACACCAGACTGGGGGTGTTGCGCTGGTCTGACCAGCAACAGCCTCTGCACCACGTTCCTGGCAGCATTGCAATGTACTACCGTGTTTTATGCGCTGCCATGCCAAACCATCCAGGCTATTTGCAAACACCGCACTCACCTTAGACTGGGGCGGAGTCACTCGCAGCAGCCGCTGCACCACAGTGAGGGCAGCGTTGCGGTAGGGCAGGAGAATGAGCACCTTGGGCCGCGTGAAGCCCTGGTCCCTTGGTATGCTCTCTACCTCGATCAGCTCCTTCCCCTCCACCCCACCCGCCCCCTTCTTCCCTCTCCTCCCACCACCCTTCCCTCCTTTCTTGAACAGCTGACTTTCCGTTCCAGCCTCCCCCACCTCTGCCTCCCCCATCTCTGCCTCCCCCTTCTCTGTTCCCCCTTCCTCCCCATCCTCCCCCCTCCCCCTGCCCTCCCCCCCCTCCCTCTCCTCCCCCTCCTTCTCTCCCCCCCCTTCCCCCTCACCCTGGACTCCTTTCCCAGAGCTGGCTGCAGCTATTTCCGTGCCAGCCCTTTTACCCTGTGCCTGGTCGCTGCTGCCTTTACTCCGCCTCTTCCCTTCGCCACCCCGCCTTGCAGCATCAGCCGCAGCAGCCGCATCAGCAGCAGCCATGGCAGCAGCGGATGCTCGGTTGAGTTTGTCGTTGTTCTTGGTGATGCGGTCACGGGTGTGAAACACATGGTTTATCTGGGGGGGGGGGGAAGGGGGGGGGGGAAAGGGAGGGGGGGGAAGAATGGGGACATGGGGAGGCTCTGTTGAGTTTGTCGTCGTTCTTCGTAATGCGGTCACGAGTGTGGAACACGTGGTTTATCTGGGTAAAAGTGGGGGAATTACAGGAGGGGAGGAGAGGGTCAGAGCAGACAGGAGGACTGGCACATGGGCAGCAGCAGACGCTCGGTTGAGTTTGTCGTTGTTCTTTGTAACGCGGTCACGGGTGTGAAACACGTGGTTTATCTGCGTGTGTGTGGTGGGGGGAGTGGGTTGGGGTGGGGTGCGGTGGTGGGGGGAGGACACGTTCGGAGGAGCACGAGTAAGCATAGGGGTTGAGTTTGTCATTGTTCTTGATGATGCGGTCACGAGTATGGAACACGTGGTTTGGCTGGGAGAGGGGTGCAGGAGGAGGGGGAGAGGGGGGGGGAGATGAGCAAAGAGACGGGCAGGAAGACGAATCTCAGGATTGCTGCAAGAGGGAGCACACACACACACACACACACAGAGCACATAAAAGCATGGAGTGTAGTGTAGAAAATGAAAAGAAAATTAAAAGAAAAGACAGAACACAGCAGCAGATGAATGAGGGAAGTGATTCACAAACAGGCATGCAGCAAATGATTTTTGAGGCGCCTAAAAAATCAGCAAATGCTTGCGCATCTCGCGCATCAAGTACGCATGAGTGATGGCCTGTGCATCGAGTGGCGTGCGGAACATGGACTGAGCGCACAGCACAGCACAGCACAGCACCGCACAGCACAGCACAGCACAGCACAGCACAGCACCGCACAGCACAGCACAGCACAGCACAGCACAGCACCGCACAGCACAGCACAGCACAGCACCGCACCGCACAGCACAGCACAGCACCGCACAGCACAGCACAGCACAGCACAGCACAGCACAGCACAGCACAGCACAGCACAGCACAGCACAGCACCAGCACAGCACAGCACCGCACAGCACAGCACAGCACCAGCACAGCACAGCACAGCACAGCACAGCACAGCACAGCACAGCACAGCACAGCACAGCACAGCACAGCACAGCACAGCACAGCACAGCACAGCACCGCACAGCACAGCACAGCACCGCACAGCACAGCACAGCACCGCACAGCACAGCACAGCACAGCACAGCACAGCACAGCACAGCACCAGCACAGCACAGCACAGCACAGCACAGCACACAGCACAGCACAGCACAGCACAGCACAGCACAGCACAGCACAGCACAGCACAGCACCGCACAGCACAGCACAGCACAGCACAGCACAGCACAGCACAGCACAGCACCGCACAGCACAGCACAGCACAGCACAGCACAGCACAGCACCGCACAGCACAGCACAGCACAGCACAGCACAGCACCGCACAGCACAGCACAGCACAGCACAGCACAGCACAGCACAGCACAGCACAGCACAGCACCGCACAGCACAGCACCAGCACAGCACACAGCACAGCACCAGCACAGCACAGCACAGCACAGCACAGCACAGCACCGCACAGCACAGCACCGCACAGCACAGCACCGCACAGCACAGCACAGCACAGCACCGCACAGCACAGCACAGCACAGCACAGCACCGCACAGCACAGCACAGCACAGCACAGCACAGCACAGCACAGCACAGCACCGCACAGCACAGCACAGCACAGCACAGCACAGCACAGCACAGCACAGCACCGCACAGCACAGCACAGCACAGCACAGCACAGCACAGCACAGCACAGCACAGCACAGCACCGCACAGCACAGCACCGCACAGCACAGCACAGCACAGCACAGCACAGCACAGCACAGCACAGCACAGCACAGCACAGCACCGCACAGCACAGCACAGCACAGCACAGCACAGCACAGCACAGCACAGCACAGCACCGCACAGCACAGCACCGCACAGCACAGCACAGCACAGCACAGCACAGCACAGCACAGCACAGCACAGCACAGCACAGCACAGCACAGCACAGCACCGCACCGCACAGCACAGCACAGCACAGCACAGCACAGCACAGCACCGCACAGCACGGCACGGCACAGCACAGCACCGCACAGCACAGCACAGCACCGCACCGCACAGCACAGCACAGCACAGCACAGCACAGCACAGCACCGCACAGCACAGCACAGCACAGCACAGCACAGCACAGCACCGCACAGCACAGCACAGCACAGCACAGCACAGCACAGCACAGCACAGCACAGCACAGCACAGCACAGCACCGCACAGCACAGCACAGCACAGCACAGCACAGCACAGCACAGCACAGCACAGCACAGCACAGCACAGCACAGCACAGCACCGCACAGCACAGCACAGCACAGCACAGCACAGCACAGCACAGCACAGCACCGCACAGCACAGCACAGCACCGCACAGCACAGCACCGCACAGCACAGCACAGCACAGCACAGCACAGCACAGCACAGCACAGCACAGCACAGCACAGCACAGCACAGCACAGCACAGCACAGCACAGCACAGCACAGCACAGCACAGCACAGCACAGCACAGCACAGCACAGCACAGCACAGCACAGCACCGCACAGCACAGCACAGCACCGCACAGCACAGCACAGCACAGCACCGCACAGCACAGCACCGCACAGCACAGCACCGCACAGCACAGCACAGCACAGCACAGCACAGCACAGCACAGCACAGCACAGCACAGCACAGCACCGCACAGCACAGCACAGCACAGCACAGCACAGCACAGCACAGCACAGCACAGCACAGCACAGCACAGCACAGCACAGCACAGCACAGCACAGCACCGCACAGCACAGCACAGCACAGCACAGCACAGCACAGCACAGCACAGCACAGCACAGCACAGCACAGCACAGCACAGCACAGCACAGCACAGCACAGCACAGCACAGCACATGCAGCATGCAGGCATCGATTAGAGGGCAAGTGAAAGCGTTCCGCATTCCGTGTGCAGCAAGTAGGCATCCGTGATGGCCCGTGCATCCAGTGGCACGAGAAACTTGGACTGGGCGCAAAGAAACCATATCGTGCAGCATGGAGGACGGCAATGACTGATGGAGGAGAAGCAAAGGTAGATTACCGCGTGCAGCAGGTAGGCATCTGTGATGGCCTGTGCGTCCAGCGGCGTGCCGAACTTGGACTGGGCGCACGGCCGGCGAGAGTGAAGCACGTCGGAGTATGACGTGCCTAGATGTGTTGCGAGGGGTGGGGGGGGAGGGAGGGAGGGGGGGAGGGGACGAGAGGGAGGTGCATGAGGCGATGATGGACGTCCAGACAGAAAGCTGGGCTGAACGGACTGAGCGCACGGTTGGCGATAATGAAGCATGTCTGTGTACGGAGTGCCAGGTTTGAGGGAGAAGGGAGAAGAGGGGGGAGGGAGAGGGGGAGGGGAAGGCTGGATGGGTGGGGGGATGGGGAGGGGCGGTTGCATGAGGGGGAATGCAAAATACTTTGGAGAAGGTGCTTCGCAGTCAGGGACATAGAGACATGGTGTGAAAGCGTGGTTACTAAGTTATTTAGTTTTGAGACGTCTCAAAACTAAACTACTTAACCACAGAAGGTGGTTCGCACCATATTGCAGTCAGGGACATAGAGACATGGTGTGAAAGCTCACAGAGGGAGAAGAACTGCTGCTGATGGTCGCTCACAAACCCATCAGTCTGCTCCCATGGCGCGAAGGCTTCCCCCGAAGCAGAGACAGCCTTTGCTGAAGCATTCGTCTTCCCCCTCTTCCGCTTTCCATCCCCTTCACTGCTACCACCAATGTTGCTGTTGGTGCTACTGCTGCTGGTGCCGGCTTTCACACCACTACTACCGCTGCTGCCACCTTCTTCCTTCCTCAATCGGAGCAGCGGCTCATAGTCCTCCTCACACACCCTCTCCCACTGCTCCTTCAACCGCCACTTAAAGCCGTCCCATGCATCCACCTCCACCTCCACCTCCTCCTCCCTATCCTTATCCCTATCCTTATCCTTAACCTTATCCGCCTCCTTATCTTTATTCGCAGCTGCAGTCCAAGGCAGTGCATGGTCAGCCACCCACTTGCCGCCCGGAACGCCCCTTGCCGGCCACTCATAGGAGAATTTGAGCGGCTTGCCGCCTCCTGCACTTCCTGCACCGGCCGGACCACCAGCGCTGCCACTGCCGTTGCTCCTGATGGCTGATTTCTCCACGCCCTTTACTTTCTTGCCTCCAGCACGTGCATCTGTAGCAGTAGCAGTGCCCATGCCAGTGCCCGTGCTACCAGCAGTGACGCTGGCTGAACCGCCCAGCGAGAGGAGCTCTTGTGGGGTGAGCATGTGGGACATGCGGAGCGAGAAGGGGCTGGATAGAGGGTGGCACAGAACGGGAGGGAATGCAGGGGAGCTCTTGAGAGGTGAGCATGTGAGACATGCGGAGCGAGAAGGGGCTGGGGGGGAGAGGGGGGGAAGGGGGGGTGGGGTTGGGAGAATGCGAAAGAACGGAGAGAAAGACTTTTCTCCAGAGTGCGCGCATGGGATAAGGGGAGGGGGGAAGGGGCCGGGGGAGGAGGGTTGGGGGAGGAGTGGCAGGACGGTCGAGAAAGCAGGAAGAGAGGTTGTACAGCAGTGAGTTAGTGGGCGCCATATAAAGACAGGACAAGGAAGAAAAGGGGAGTGTGAAGAAAGGGGAGTGTGATAATACAAGAGTGTGACATAAGGTGAGTGTGATAAATCAAGAATAAGACATGAGGTGAGAACTTGATAATGCGAAAATGTGACTTAAGATGAGAATGTGACTAAGGCAAGAAAGAGAAAATGTTGAAACGTGACCGGGATGAGAGGTGGGGTTGGGTCTTCTTACTCTTGCTTGATTGCACTTTCTGTCTGGCCATCTCCCACTTGTGCTTCCTCCTCATTCACTCCCCCCTCCTCCTCCCCCTCCTCCCCCTCCTCCCCCTCCTCCTCCTCCTCCTCATCACCACTGCTGCCCTCTCCTGTTGCTTCAGCAGCAGCATCAGCACGTGCCCCCTCGCCCTCATCCTCCTCTTCGCTTTTTGATCCAGAATCCGACCCTCCTTCCTTCTCCCCTCTCTGCTCCTCCTCTCCCTCTTCGTCTTCACTCATATCCTCCTCCTCCCCATCATCATCTTCCTCCCCCTCCTCCTCCTCCTCACTCTCTATCCCCAGTGCATCTCTCTCCCTGTAACCAGCCATAGTCGTCCAAAAACACCATACACATGAGCAATCATATGCACACAAACACACGGGCGATTGTTTCATCCCATATGCATGCTTGCACACAAATACGCGTATGAGCAATTACACGTTTCGAGGGAAGTCTCACTCGCAAGCATCACAATTCTCGCCTCTACACTCGCTCTGAGACTCCATAAGTCACCAAGGTGAATTCGCAACGACTAAATACGGCCTAAACCCTGTACCTGAAACCCTAGACTTGTGCCACACATTCCTCCAGCCCAATTCCAAAAACGCTGAAAGGAAAAACCCAAATCCATTGTGTTCACGCACAATCGCACATAGAAAAAACCACAATGGACCAACCCCCAACCTTTTGTCCTCTCCCTACCTCTGCGAGTAGACCTGTGAGAGCGCGCCACGTGTACTCTTGCCCAGCGACGCCAGCAAGGCCGAATAAGCGTCAGGACCAGCCACACTCAATCCTAAACCCGCACCCTCTTCCTCATCCTCCTCCTCTTCCTTCCCCCCATCCCCCGTTCCCCCTTCTTCTGCGCGCCCCCTTTCCCCAGGACGAGATCCCCTTCCCCCCCTTCCTCTGCCTCCGCGTCGTCCCCCTCCCCCTCGTTGCCTCCCTGCGCTGCTAGGGCTGCTTCCCCTGCCCCTCACCCGCGCATCCCCCTTTCCCATCCCCCCCCCATCCTGTCCCCCCCCGAAGGAATACGCTGCGCTTCCGCCAGCGTGTGCAACTGCCCCTCCGCGCCGACCCCCCCTCCCCCTGCCTCTCCCTCTTCCCCTGTGCCGGCCTACTGGTCCCATGCGATCCTACTCTACCAACGTTCAAGCTCTGTCTCCTCTCGCTTTCACGGCAAATGTAACCTAACAGCGGTCAAATATCGACGCCTAGAAGACCCGGATAGTCCCGGCAGCCCCGGTTGCTTTTAGAATCTAGTATCACTGCTCTGTCGAACTATACGGAGCCAATTGGAAAATCTTGTACTGGTCGGGTTCAGGGTGCGGGATTTCAGTATATTGCCCGCATTACGCTGACTCTTGGAAAAAAGCATGTTCTAATATTCCTTGGTCGGTAGGGAAATAAATGGTTGAAAACAAGATATGGCAAAAGTAGAAACTATAATTTAAATGGCTGGTATATGGCACAAGGATTTGGTTCGGAACGTTGTTCAATAAATCTCAACATGTTGAACTGTTATTTGTGTGGTGGTACGTGAAGTAGTGAGTTGAATCTGCTTTTTGTTCCTTCAACCAGGAAAGGCCTCTTCTCGCCGAATCAATAGCGCGGACAGATTCAGCTGCCCCACCTCCTCTTCCTCGTCATTCCCAGTGCTCCATCGCCGCCTCGCACAAGCAGACCCATCCCCGAGCCAGATTAGCGAAGGCTACGGCGGTTCTCTTACCATGGGGCTGTGCGAAGGCTTCGTCAAAGGTGGCTACTGGTTCGGTTGTAACATTCTGTGGCAGGCAGCGGAGTCAGAGCGCCACTTAGGTTGGGACAAATTTAGTGGCGGGAAACAAGGAATAATGCGCCTCGAGGACGCGCGAATCAAACATCAGCGGCGGAAGACGCCTCGAGAATGTATCCCGCGAAGCTGCCTTATCCTTTCACTCCGCCGATTCCCTCTGGCGTGGCGTGACAACGCAGCAGCCAGCGAGGCTCGCAATTTGAAACCCCAATCCCAGGGGAGCAGAGGGTCTCAGCTCAGGCTGAGGCTGAGATTCGAGCCGATCAGTTTCCGGTAGTTTCTCATCGAGTCTGCGGCAAAGTGAAACGAATTTCTGCCTTTAGAACACTAGCGGGACTTCCTTTGCAATACCAGCATGGATTCAAATGCGGAAACCACTCCTCGTGAAGTGGCGAAGATCGACAACACCGCGTCAACGAGAACCAGCTCTCCGAGCAGGATTAGAGGCATAGGCAGATTTGGCACGCCTAACACGGTGATCTCTTACGGATCGCATGGCGTCGCCAAGTCAGCTTCCGACCCTGACTCTCTTCTTCCGGTTAGCAACAACAAGGCTATCAGCGACACATGCAGCAGTGAGCCTGTCAGTAGTAACTGCTGCAGCAGCGTGAGCGGTATCGTGTCTCTGAAGAGCGTGAGGCCTCTGCTGGAGACTCTGGTTAAGCAGAAGGCGGAGTCAGCCGTATTTTCCGCTGCAGCCGCCAGCAGAGGCATTGGAAGATTCGGCAAACCTGTCCACGTGGCGTCTTTTAGGTCACGCCGTGCCAACAGGCCCTTCTGCTTCAAGCCGCCTCAGTCTCACGTGCATGCTGACAGCAAGGCGCCGTCCAACGACGACTGCTGCAACAGCGTTGTATTTAAGAGCATGAGACCGCTGCTGGCGAATCTGGCGAAAGAGAAGGAGACGTCTTCCCAAGTCTTGTGTATTGGCAATCAGACTCTGAAAGCGAAGAAGGTGCAGCAGAGCAATGCATCGGTGGACGTGAAGAGGCGTGGAATCGGCCGTTTCAGAAGGGAAGTTTCTGCTTGTCAGGCTGCTAATGCGTCCCCTTCTCCGTGCACATCACGTGCTGCGTTACCAGCGGTTGCAACTACAACGAAGGTGACTCAAGCGGGCGTGCCTCCTCCAGCGGCTGCAGTAGCATTGGTAGCAGGTGCCAGTGCGTCAGTGTTGACCCCAGCTGCTGGGGCGGACCATGTGGTGCACAAGGAAGAGGTGCCTGGCACCAACTCAAGCAGAACCTCTGGCAACAACCCTAGCAGCAACCCTGGCAACAGCAGCAGCAGCAGCAAGGAGCGTGTGCGTCTCCTAAGGAGTATGCGGTCCATGGTGCGGGATCCGGTGAAGGAGAGAGCAGAGGTGAGGGAGAGGGAAGGAGAACCTGCCAATCGTGTGGCTGACAGCCACCGATCCACCAGGCGTCGTCTCAAGCATGTCCTGATGCAGCTGGCCTTGCAACGTGTGGAAGCCAGCCGTTCTTGTGAGGTGAATCGCACGGAGGTCGGCTAAAGTGGAGGAGGGGGGGTTACTACCACAGCATGGCAAGTGATGGAGTTTTTCGTTTTCAGGCAAGCCTGGCAGCAACCACAGCAAAGGGTCATCGCCTTGGGTTGATTCTGTTGGCACTTCGGTGCCTTGGTAGTACATAGTTCACTGGTGCTTGACCGGTTGCAAAGCCCAAGATGAGCATGGTTGGTGTGCCTCCTCGTCCCAAGTGTGTAATGTACATATTGTACGACATGTAAAAGCTGTTGCATCAGGAGCCTGGCAAAGTCAAGTGTTTTCAAGACATGCCAGAACACATAAGCGTCAAGTTCAAAGCCGGGTACAACTACATGTAGGAAATGCACTGCAGCTAAGTGTTGGTAAGAATCCATACTACATGCAGGCAATCCAGTGCGGCATTCCAGCACCGAGCATGATCAGCAGAGAGACGTTCTGAACTGAAATATCTACCACTGCTGCAGCACTGGAAGGGCGCACTGCATTGGCCTGCAATCACGTCCCGCTGAAGCAAGGACTGCAAGCTACGCACTTGATGACAATAGCCAGTGGTTGTTGCAAGCTATGTCTCATGTACTCTGAGGCACTTCACTCATCAATGCTTGCTTGCCTCTTTCCTCCACTCTAGCTTCAGATCACCCTCCCCTCCCCCTCCCCTTCCCCCCTCGACTGTACAGTATCATCAAATCTTGGTGTGAGTGGGGATGAGCACGCGGTCGACCCCATGGGCAATGAACCAGCGGCCCACATACAGCCCTGGGATGCGAATAGTGGTCCACTGCGCCTGCTTCAAATACGGCCCTTTGGCAAACGCCACCGCGCTGCTATTCGCCGCCGTCATCTTGAACACCGGCTGCCGGAGCTGCGTGCCCACCGCCACCCGCTGCTTCACCTGGCGCAGCTGCGGGACGGTCATGCGCTTGCGCAGGATGTGGAACGCCGTGATGTTGTACACCGTGGGGACGCTGCTGCTCTTAGCGGGGATCCTCTTCGCGAGCGCCTCTGCCTGCGCGTTGTTGGGGATCAGGATGGACGCGTCTCGCAGCGCTGATAGGTCGTACCTCGAGTTCACTGAGGGGAGGGGGGGGGGGAAGACAGGAGGAGTAGGAGTGAGTGATTTTGGAAAAAGATAATGATTTTGGGGGGAGGAGGGGGGGGGGGAGGGGGCGGGGCAGGGAGGAAGAGTTAACTTGGTTTCGACGAGCGGAGGGGAAGGGACGAACAAGGAACGGTCCAACCACGGTGCGTATCCAGAATCAGGTTGCTGGGATGAGAATGGGATGAGGACCACCCGTAGACGAGGAGGGATGAGAATGGGATGAGATTAGGGTTCTTACGGGCGACGTTGATGTATTTGGAGGCGTCCTGCGCGTATCTGGAGTACTGCGGGTACCGCTTCACGATGCTCTTAGTCATCGCCTGCAGCTCCGCGCGCAGCTGCGCCTTCGTCGGCGGAGCAGGCGCCTTCTGCGCGCCAATTCCCGGCACGCACGCTGCTGCTATGCATGTGGCTACTATTAGTGCGACGAGCAAGCTGCCTCCGAGCCGCGCCGCCATTCCTGGTGATTGTTTGAAGTCTCGAAAACGTATTTTCGCCTTGCGAATGCGAGGATGCACGCGGATTGAGTACGGAGCGCGTGGATTGCGGATGGTGCACGCGAATCGGTGAACTTAGGGAACAGTAAATAACTCGGCTGATGGTGCGCTGGGCCTGTTTTTCTGAGCGGGATCCGGTGGTTGGTGGCTGGACCTGTTGTTGCTTGAATGGTCGTCGCTTGCTGGGCTGAAAGCTAGGTTGCCGTCGTATTAGGTTGCTAGAAGGTTGTTGTGATGAATGCAGATATGAGCTAAGCCGTACTTATAGGATAGCGAGAGCGAGAGGAATGTTTCCCAATAACGCCTAGAAGCACACATCGGGACGAGACGACTCGCCATCGACACGCGAGGAAGCTGAGTCGCCGCCAAACAGCCGTGACGCGCCGCGCCGCTTCGGCGTGTGACGGCTTGCGGCATAACGCGACAACGCACGGCGCGATTGTGGGAGGACGAACGAGACGCGAACACGGCCTTGTCTACATTCGACCCTAGGAGGATCCTTCAACCTTAGACGAACCTCTAGCAGACTTGCACACTACCACCTTGATACTGTAGAAACAGAGCCAAGGGGGGTGGCGACTGGCGAGACAATTGACGCGTGTGCGACGAGCCGACGACGCGGTGTACGACGTCTGTGATTCGGTGCCTGCGAGTTTCGGGGAAGCCGGCACACCAAAATGCCTTGCAGGGATTGATAACGATAAGAGTGTAAGTTACAGTATTTTCCCAATGTTCCCTCACGATAAAGCGTATAATAACACCTTACGTAAACATTAGAAATGCTGGAAAATGGTTCATGCGGGAACATGAAGGTAATGATTGAAAATTGCAACAATCCAATGGACATTGCCAAGTGGCTGCATATGTCTGCCATACCTATGCATATGGCATTGATTTCGCTTTTCATAGCCTAGAGTTGTAGGATTTCCAGTACCGTCAGCGTTGCAGCTTGCTGGCATGGCACTGTCGCTGCTGGTGTCCCCGCACAGTATGCAACTGCAGTTGCTGCAACATGCTGGTGTACTGGCAGTCTGGCACTGTTGGGTGCAGCAGTCACTCTTGAGTACAAGTGGATGCAGTCCCCTATCCAACATTGTTGCATTGCAATGTTGCATCTTCTACCTGCTTTGTGCTTGTCACAACACTGTTGACCCAGAAAAGCTTACAGAGAGCAGAAGTCACACCCACTGGTCTTCACCAATAAACATGCGAGTCGGGCTTCCAGGGCTTGAAGTCATTCGCTGGCCCGGCAGTCCAGTTCAGCCTCTCATCCCCAGGCTTTAAATACGCCGACGGCGGGTGAGGCAGCTTCCTGGCAAGCCCGTTCAGCACCTGGTGAAACACATCCCCCTCCTGCGGCTGCGGGTGTCCCAACACCACAGCCTGCCTGATTGCATGCGACGCCAGCCTCTGCTGCATCGCCAGCACTCTCCTCGGCCCGATCCCGGCCAGAATCTCGTCCAGTTTCGGGACGTCTTTTTCCGGCACGAAGACGGCGATTTCGCGCCACGGGATGACGTCCGAGAACGGCAGGACGATGTTGTCGGCCACTATAACGGGGATGCACCCGAAGAAGACCGACTCGACCAGGCGGGGGGACCAGGGCGCCCAGCCGAGCGGGCAGAGGCAGAAGAGCGAGCGCTGCATGTCCTCGTAGTAGGACGCGGGGTGCTCCGCTGACATGTCGAACAGCGGGTTGGTCTTGAAGTTCTCCCAGATGGATGCACGTGCTCCCCTGGGTGAGATGAGGCAGAGGGGAGAACGGGAGAGAAAGATGGCACACACAAGTGGGGCGCTCCGCTGACATGGCGAGCAGTGGTGCTGGTAGGAACGAAGGGCGCTGCCACGGCGCTGCTTCAAGGTACCCGACACCACAGCTCACCTGGCATAATAACTGCCTTGGGGGTCGTTGTTGTGGTCGTGGAACAGCCCCCGGAAATACACAAAGATGGAGCGGGAGCATGTGGCCCGTGGGCGCGAAGGGCGGTGCCACGGTGCTGCTTCAAGGTATCCCAAACCATCTCTAGCTTGATGGCTCACCTGGCATAGTAACCGCCTTGGGGGTCGTTGTTGTGGTCATAGAACAGCCCCCGGAAGTACACAAAGATGGAGCGCGGCGTGTCGGGGGGGATGCGGCGGCGGTGCATGTGGCCCGTGGGAGCAAAGGGCGGCACCACGATGCTGCCGGGCTTGTGGCACACGTGGTGGCTCTGACCAAACGTCTGCACCAAGGTGGCTCGCTTTAATAGGGGCATGATGCCGCGCGTTATGGCCTTCTCCTCCTGAGATTGGGATCCGGGGGGGTGGGGGGGTGGGGGAGTGGGGGGGGGGGGGGAGGGGAGAGGGGGAGTTGTGGGGGGAGGATGGATAATGTATGAGCGAGGGAGTGTGCGTGGCTTGGCTTGTGGGACCCATGGTGGCTCCGACCAGACGTCCGCACCAGCATAGCTCAGTTTAACAATGGCATGATGCGATGTGTAATGGCCTTCCCTCCCTCGCATGAGGTTTGTTCTGCTTGCTCACACGCCTGGTTGGTCTGTGCTGATGTAAGCCTGCCACACCATTGGCGCTGTGCAGTATGTGCTCTGTGCTGCATCACTCGCTATAGTCACACACACTCACCTCATAGTGAAAGCACGCGCCGAAGTCATGGGGGGTAATGAAGAAGTGATCCGCGCCGTCCGTGCGATTCCAGTACGGCCATTTCTCCGCCACCAGCGAGATCGCCGCGCGGAACATCCGCGGCGACCGAAACGGCAGCGGCAATCCCGAGGCGGTCAGGTCGCACGTGGGGTACACGGGCAGGTAGAACCAGTCCGCCTCGTCCGGGTTCGTCGTACGTACGGGGCTGTTCAAGATGTAACGGTGGAACAGTACTTCTAACGCGAACATGTGCGTCAGGCAGCGCGGCTGCTTCTTGATGAAGTTGTAGTTGTAATCGCGTGGAAGATCGTACACGTAGATCTTGAGCCGCCCCACGGGATTGCCCACCAGCTCCTCCTGCTGCTGCCGCTGCTGCGAGCTCAGACTCGCGTCGCCGTCAGTGCCGCCGACATTGCCGCCGTCATTGCCGCCGTCATTGCCGCCGTCATTGCCGCCGACATTGCCGCTCTCCTCCGTCTCCGCGTCCTCCCTTCCTGATGCTGGCAGCATGGGGCGCGCGGGGGGCAATAGGGCGTCCCGGGAGGGGCGGGGGGGGGGTGGGGGGGAGGAGAAGGGGGGAGGGGGGGAGGAGGACGGGGGAAGAATAGGGATGGGCGAGATCAGACTGTGGTTGTCGGATTGTCAACGGAAGGCCTTACGCTACAGCGTGGACATTCTCAGCAATTCAACGCATAGAACAAGTCTGAACGGCCCAAGGGTATGAGAGAGTGCACTAACACCTACGGAACAGGGCAGGGAGAGGCCTAGACCTAGACTAGTTTCGACACGTCCCAAAACAAGCCTGAGACGCACCTCCTAGGCGTGAAAGAACCTGCACTAGCACCTACGGCACAGGACGGGGGGCAGACCTAGACTAGGCCCCGCTTTAAAGACGACTCAAACGCAAACATCCGGGAGAGAACAGGGACATGCCTAGCCTAGTGTCGAGACGTCTCAGAACAAGCCTGAGACCCACCTACGGCACAGGACAGGGACAGGGACAGGCCTAGTCCGGCCCTAGAACCCACCTCCTAAGCTATCCGCCTTGTCGCCGCCAGCCACCATCCCTACCACCTCCTTATCCTGCATCTTACGTCGGACCAAACCGCCGCCTCCTGCGCCGCTAACCCCGCTCGGCACCCCTTGCAATCCATCCCCCCCCTGCTGCTGCTGCAACTGTTGCGACTGTTGTTGCGAGGAGCCGTCGGCGTATGGTCCGACGACGGTGTCGTCGAGTGCAGCAGGGACGGGGAAACTGGGCCCTCTGATGCTAAGGTTGAGGTTGAGGTTAAGCGACGGGAGGATAACGACCAACAGCAGCGCTAGCAGGAAACCCGGGTCAGTCACCGCGCTCTGCGCGCTGCGAATCCACGGAGCTAATCTCCGAATCATGGCGGTGATTAGTGTACTATTGTGTTGTTGATTGACAACAATATACCGTACGGTGCCAATGGTGATTATGGGAGGGATCTGCGGCGATTAATTGTTACTTATCACGGACAGGTGGATCGGATTCGGAAAGGGTGACCAACTAGTTGGCTTTTAGAATTCTAAATAACCAACTTGATTCATGGCGACAGGCGAGAGCGTAACGACGGACGACCGTCCATGAGATGAGAGCCTTGGACTCTCGTATGGCGGGCGGGATGTGGAGAAGCCAATGTCCTGACAACCTTGATCGCACGGAAGTCGTTCGAGCTACGAAAGCAGGTCAACACGGAAGGATGAGCGAAGGTCGTGTGGTAACATGACAAATGAGCCGTCAGACGGAGGGGTGTCTTTTACTTTATGCAGCAAGAGCTTCTAAACTGGAGCGAGCAACTAAGGCGTTAACCTTAGTGCAGGATTCCTGCGGTCGTCCTCTGGAATCTAGTCCACAGTTTAGGCATGGTCCTGCTGCATTGGTTTCTGTGCAGTGCGCTTCAGCCTGAAGATCCTAGTTTGTTCATTTCCCCCTGCTTGCTTCCGTGTAGGCTGCAGTCCTATCTGTTTTCACACAGCAGAAACTGATCCTAGAGAAACTAGCCAGAACAAACGCCCCCCATAATATACACCAGGGTTTCTTCTAATTCTACGTTGAAACAGGGTAAGGAGGTCAGATGTTTTTCCAGCAAAGAGATTGTTACATGACAACAGGCGTTGGGATTGCTAAGTGCACGATATTTTTTAGGCACCAGACTTGGAAACAAGCTGTGATCAGATTCGGTAAAACATGCTGGGTAACTTCCTCGCGCAGACAGATCCAGCCGCCCAGCCCCAACCTGTTTGACAGGCAGCCTTTTGGGCCAAGTGTGACTTAAGCGACTGTTCGATAGGGATGGGTGTGCGCGAAACGGGGCTCAACAAACACGGGCAGGCTTGAGCCGTGAATCGTTGTGCCCTCAACAACGCGCGCTAGGCTACGATTGGCTGACTCATCCAACAGTCGACTTCTGCTGGCTCTGGTGTCAGAAACATGGTGTTCTTTAAACGGGGAAGGCGTTAATGTCAACCCACTAAACTCGGGTTTCAAGTTATTTCAACCTAGAGTTTTTTTGCTTCATCGAGTCTTGTATATCCGGCTGATTGATGCTAAAGCAATTGAGCTCATTAATAGCACCTGAATAGCGGGTACAATGTTCCAGTTCCTCCCGAAAATGCTATTTCACCCAACCAAACCCTCGTGCACAGCACTGCACTAGGGCAGGACCAGAGACAGGTAAATAGCCAAGAAAGCGCGCTGCTGGCGACTTGGATACCGTAGATACCATTCCGACCACTGCCCCTGTTTATTGGAGAAGCGGGGGGGAATGGCGGCCGGCAGCGGGGAAAGCGCAGCGGAGGTGGAAGGAGCGCGAGCTGGAGAGGGAGCGAACGACGAGGGTGCGGGCGGAACGAGCGATAAGGGCGCGGCAACGGGCAGCGAAAGCGCGAAAGTCGCAACGCCGCAAATGAATGGCGAGACTGTCGTTATCGCGGACGCTGGAAACCCAGAAGCGGAGAAATCGGAAGCGACGAAGCCGAAAACAAAGGATGAAGCGGAGAAGGGGGAAGCGGAGAAGGGGGAAGCGGAGACGACGGACGCGGAAAAGCTGGAAACTGAGAAACCGGAAGCGGAGAACGCAGAAGCGGAGAAGGCGGAAGTGGCGAAGGCGGCAGGGGAGAAGGCGGAAGCGGAGAAAGTAACCGTTGAGAAGACGCAAACTGATGAGGTTGAGAACTACCCTGCCGGTGACGGCAAAACCGAGGCCATCGAAGCCGAAGCTAAAGCCAAAGCCACTGAAGCAGAAAATGCTGCGACGAACGACGACGCGGCATTGCCAGGCGAGGCGCCGACGTGCTACTGTGACGCGGAGGAGGGGGAGGAGGGGAGGGAGGTGGAGGAGGAGGAAGAGGAGGTGACCGAGGTGGTACCAATGGCGATGGCGGGGGGGAAGAACGACGGGGAAAAGGAAAACGCAGGAAGAGAGGGTAGCGGAACCAAAGAGGAAGCGGGGAAAGCAAAGGAGGGAGCGGAGGGTGAGACGACCAATGCAAAGCCGAAGCTGAAGCTGAAGCGGAAGAGGCTGGCGGTGGTGAAAACTGTGACGGCGGCTGCTAACCCGAACAAGGGCCTGCGATACTGGACGTGCGCCAACTACCAACCGAGGCCGTTCAAGCGCGCCAAGCAGGCGCGCAAGGGCGCAGGGAGGGACGAGCAGACGAAGAAAGATGCAAAGCGGTGCGACTTCTTCAGGTAAGCTGTGATAGAGTGTGCGTGTGCAAGTGTGGGCGAGTGTGTGTGAGAGTGTGTGTGGGGGTGAGCGTGGGTGAATGTGTGTCGAGTGTACCAGTAAAAGTGCAAGCCCAGGCTGTGCGAACGCGAATAAGGGCCTGTGGTACTGGACGTGCGCCAACTACCAGCCCAGGCCGTGGAAGGGCACAAAACGGTGTGACTTTTTCAGATAAGCTGTGCTAGAGTGTGCGGAAGTGCGGGTCGAGTGTATCAGTCAAGTACGGGGACAGCGATGCTGCGATGGTAACAGCTGTTGCGAACGCAACGCGAGCCATTGCCTGCGGTACTGGACGTGTGCTAACTACCAGCCGTGGCTGTGCAGGGCTGACATGAAAGTGAAAGCTGCCATCACATGCCATGGCACGAGCGCCATCACATGCCATGGGACGAGCGCCATCACATGCCATGGAACGAGCGCCATCACATGCCATGGCACGAGCGCCATCACACGCCATGGCACGAGCGCCATCACACGCCATGGCACGAGCGCCATCACATGCCATGGCACGAGCGCCATCACACGCCATGGCACGAGTGCCATCACACGCCATGGCATGAGCGCCATCACATGCCATGGAACGAGCGCCATCACATGCCATGGCACGAGCGCCATCACATGCCATGGCACGAGCGCCATCACATGCCATGGAACGAGCGCCATCACATGCCATGGAACGAGCGCCATCACATGCCATGGCACGAGTGCCATCACACGCCATGGCACGAGCGCCATCACACGCCATGGCACGAGCGCCATCACACGCCATGGCACGAGCGCCATCACACGCCATGGAACGACCATCACATGCCATGGCACGAGCGCCATCACACGCCATGGCACGAGCGCCATCACACGCCATGGCACGAGCGCCATCACATGCCATGGCACAAGCGCCATCACACGCCATGGCACGAGCGCCATCACACGCCATGGCACGAGCGCCATCACATGCCATGGCACGAGCGCCATCACACGCCATGGCACGAGCGCCATCACACGCCATGGCACGAGCGCCATCACATGCCATGGCACGAGCGCCATCACACGCCATGGCACGAGTGCCATCACACGCCATGGCATGAGCGCCATCACATGCCATGGAACGAGCGCCATCACATGCCATGGCACGAGCGCCATCACATGCCATGGCACGAGCGCCATCACATGCCATGGAACGAGCGCCATCACATGCCATGGAACGAGCGCCATCACATGCCATGGCACGAGCGCCATCACACGCCATGGCACGAGCGCCATCACACGCCATGGCACGAGCGCCATCATACGCCATGGCACGAGCGCCATCACACGCCATGGAACGACCATCACATGCCATGGCACGAGCGCCATCACACGCCATGGCACGAGCGCCATCACACGCCATGGCACGAGCGCCATCACATGCCATGGCACAAGCGCCATCACATGCCATGGCACGAGCGCCGCCACACGCCATGGCACGAGCGCCCACACATGGCACATGTGGCCTTCCCTTGAACCAGTCCTTTGAATCCGCCCAATGCACGCCCTCGCACGCACTCCCTTCAACCCTTCCCCTGCTCCCCTTCCCATAATTTCTCTCCTCTCTTTCTCTTTCTCCGCATGTGCCCGTAGGTGGCTGGACCCCCCGCGGGTGACCAAGGAGGAGAAGGCAGCAGCTGCCAGGGAGAAGCGCCGCAAGCGAGAGCTGGCTCTGCTGTCGTAAGTGAGGAGACACTTCCAGCGGCTCGGCGCCTCCATGTATCATCGGCTTTCGAGGCACCTTTAGAAAGTGCTGCCGCTGCTGTAGTAGAAAGGGTGGAGCTGTCTGTGCTGTCGTAAGGAGGGACGCGACGCTGCTGCAAAGAGGGGAAGGAAGCCGTTCTATGAAGCTCGTAGCACTGACAGGAGGAAGTGTGGCAGTGGTGGCAGGGGGAAGTGATAGCAGTGGTGGCAGGGGGAAGTGGTAGCAGTGGTGGCAGGGGGAGTGGTGGCAGGTGGCAGTGGTGGCAGGGGGGGTGTAGAAGAGTTCTAACTGGGCAACTGACATGACGTGAGATCAGGTGATGTGACGAGAGGTGACATCGGGTGACATGAGATGACATGGCTTGACATGGCGTGACACGAGGAGCCACGAAGTGACATGATGTAACATGTTATGACATGGCGTGGCGTGATGGCTAACTGGTTGTGGCGCACTGCACCCGGCAGCGTGGTGTTTTGGGGGGCGACTGAAGGTGGGTGGGGAAGGCAAGTGCAGGAGGGGTGAAGGGAGGGGAGTAAAAATTTTGGTAGGGAGGGAGGGGTGGTGGATAAGTGATTGCAGGGTGACTTTGGGTCGACTCTCAGCTCACCTAAATGCAAGGTTTTAGGGGAGGAGTGGTTCTAGTGGAGTGATTCTAGGGGCGGGTTGATTGTAGAACTGTATTGTGTCAATGTCTTTGTTTTATTTGATAGGTTGTCATTCTGTGGACATGCTGTACTGATCATGCACCCCCCTTTCTGTTGTGGTATATTATGTAATTTTTTGAAAGCGTGTAGCGCTTTCTAAAAATGTGTATTGTGATAGTGTAGCAAGAGCCAACGCAGCAAAGGCAGCGGCGAAGAGCACCTAACCCTCTTTTGCATTCAAAAGAGGAACGTGAGGCCTCTCGGCCTCACCCACGTTCTTCATTTCTAGTTCAACTCATTTGAGTTTCCCTCATTTGAGTTCCTAGTGTCAAACATAAGTATAACTCATGCTTGTATAGACTGTATAGGGTCGCCTCTTAGAGGGTACAACACTCTTAGGTATATACCCTTGTACTCTCTCTCTATTCAAAAAAAAGTATTCAGTTCTAAGATGGTATCAGCAGTAGGTAGGTCCCACCGCCCCCCCCCACGCTTCCGCCCTAGGATCTACCCCCGTGCGTCGCGCCCCCTAGGCCCCGTCGCGTCACCTAGGACCAGTCGCGCCCCCCCCCTGGGCCCGGCGCGTCACCTAGGACCAGTTGCGCCCCCCCCTGGGCCCCGTCACGCCCCCCTGGGCCCCGTCGCGCCCCCTGGGCCCCGTCACGCTCCCCTGGGCCCCGTCGCGCCCCCTGGGCCCCGTCACGCTCCCCTGGGCCCCGTCGCGCCCCCTGGGCCCCGTCACGCTCCCCTGGGCCCCGTCACGCTCCCCTGGGCCCGTCGCGCCCCCTAGCATCCGTCACGCCCCTCCCTGGCCCCCCATTGGTGCCTCCTGGCCCTATCGCGCGACTCCTAGCCCGTCGCGCCTTACCTAACCTGTCGCGCCTTTCCTAGCCCGTCGCGCTTCCTAGTCCGTCGCTCCAGCCCCGCGACCGTCCCAGCCGGCCCCGCGACCGTCCTAGCCAGCCCCGCGACCGTCCCAGCCGGCCCCACGACCGTCCCAGCCGCGCCCCGCGACCGTCCCCAGCCGGGGGCCCCCGGCGACCGTCCCAGCCGGCCCCCGCGACCGTCCCAGCCGGCCCCGCGACCGTCCCAGCCGGCCCCGCGACCGTCCCAGGCCGGCCCCGCGACCGGGGGCCGCGACCGTCCCGCCGGCCCGGACCGTCCAAGCCGGCCCCGGACCGTCCCACCGCCCCGCCCGCCCAGCCCCCCTCGGCCCGTCCAGGCCGCCCCTGCACCCGTCCCAGCCGGCCCGCGCCTGTCCCAGCAGGCCCCGCGCCCGTCCCAGCCGCCCCCGCCTGTCCCAGCCGGCCCCGCGCCCGTTCCAGCCGGCCCCGCACCCGTCCCAGCCGGCCCCGCGACCGTCCCAGCAGACCCCGCGACCGTCCCAGCCGGCCCTGCGATCGTCCCAGCCGGCCCCGCGACCGTCCCAGCCGGCCCCTCGTGCCCGTCCAAGCCGCCCCTGCACCCGTCCCAGCCGGCCCCGCACCTGTCCCAGCAGGCCCCGCGCCCGTCCCAGCCGGCCCCGCGCCTGTCCCAGCCGGCCCCGCGTCGACTTCCGGCCCTTCCTCGCCGGCCCTACGACCGTCCGATCTGCACTCTCCCTGGTACGGTTCTCCACCACCTTTCACCGCACTGTACCGCACTGCACCGCACCGCACCGCCCTGCACTGCCCTGCATCGCACTGCCTCGCCTTGCACCGCCCTGCACCGCACTGCACTGCCCTGCTCTGCACTGCACCGCACTGTACAGTCCTGCACTGCCCCTGATGGCGGCGGAGCTTCGCTTCGACGCTACAGGCCAGCCTCTGGAGTTCGAGGCGGGGCTCGCCGACCTCCGTCGCCACCTCACTGGCCATCAGCAGGATGGCCACCGCTTTCCGCACACTTGACGGTACGCTCCCCTGCCCAGACCCCCCTGCTGTTCTGCCCGCTGACTCCACACCCGTTGAGCACGAGTCCACTGCAGCCACTGCCCTTGCGCGCTCTGTCTGGCTTTCTCGAGACGTTGTCGCTCAGCTTGCCATTAGCAATGCCCTTCCCCCGTCCGAGCGCCCTCGCTTTAGGTCCATCACTACTGCCCAGGCTTACTTAGATGCTGTCATCAAGCGCTATTCCACCCCTCCTGCTGCCTCGGTGGGTCGCCTGATCCTCCTGATGCTCTTTCCCGACCTTGCGTCTTTCCCCACTCTCTCTGACCTCGCTTCCCACCTGCGCTCGATAGATGAGACCTGGCGCGCTGCCTGCACTGATGCACAACTTAGAGCCCACCAGCCGCCCATTACCTCTACCCTTTACCTGCTTGCCACCCGCCTCCCTGACCGCCTTGCTGTCGCCCGCGACCGCTTCCTTAGCATTCACCCCGCAGACCTCACCCTCACTGACTTTTGGTAGACACCCTGACTGTGATTGAGACCCGCCACCGCTCCATCGCCCAGGCGAGCGGTACCGTGCCGGTCCCTATCTTTCAGGTTGTGCCCCCCGCTCAGAGTACTTTCTCCGACGACTCTGCCGCTGTGGCTGAGACTGCTGCTGCAGCGCAGTTTCGTTCGGGGAAGGGCCGCTGCCCCAAGGTTGGGCGCGGCGGAGGAGGCGGGCGCGGTGGGTCGGGTCGTCTGGTGCTGGAGCGGATGAGGGGACCCTGCCCAGTCCAGCTGAGCCGCCGCCCCTGCAGTCGCAGCAGCAGCAGCAGCCGCAGTAGCCGCCGCAAACGCAGCAGCCGCAGCCTTCGCAGCAGCCGCAGCAGCCACCGCAGACGAGGCAGACGAGTGTCCTCCCGCCCGGGTGGCCCGGCGCTGCTGCGGTGGTCGGGCGCGTGGTGGTGTGCCGAATGGTGGTTCTAGAGGCGTGCGTTGTCAGTACCAGATCCAGACCGGTCCTCGCCGCGGGCTTCGTTTGCGGTATGATCGGTCACTCCCACTCCCCGCTGTTTTCGTCGCCTGGACGACCTCTTTCGTCAGCGCTTCGGCCCGTCGCCAGACCTCCCGGACGGGCACAGTTTGCTTAGTCGTAAGATTCAGATTTTTGACATGGACATGGATGCCATTGTTTCTGTTCTGCATGTGATGTATGCTGATGACTCTAGTGTGCTTCCCGCTTATTACTCACTGTCGGCTAGTGTAGGTGTGCCTAGCTTAGCCTCCCCTGCTGCGTCAGGCGTAGGATCCCCTGCTTTGTGTAGTCTTGGTGCTTCCGCCGTCGTTCCGTTTGCCAGACGCCTCTGCTTCGCTTTCCTTCACCTTGGACTCTGGCGCTTCCCGATGTTTCTTCCGCGACTTCACCACCCTGACGCCGCTTCCTGTTCCTGCTGCCATTTCTCTTGCTGACCCCTCCGGCGGTCCGGTAGTCGCCCCGCAGTTCCACCACCCTTCCCTGTCCGGCGGTTCCTCGGGCACTCTCACAGGTCTGCATATTCCCTCGTTCTCCAGGACCCTAGTTGGTGTCGGCTGCCTCCAGGACCTTGGCGTCACCACTACGTTCCCTGGTAACGAGCGGTATGCTGTCTGTACCGAGGGCCGCCACGGGTGCCCCCCTGTCCACGTTCCCCCGGGACCCGGTGTCCGGCCTGTTCACTCTGGACACCGTGACCCCCCCAGCTGGGGCGCTCCCTCAGGTGGCTGCGTCTACCCAGGTTGCTGCTGCCTGCTCCTGTCGGTCCCTCACTCACCCGAATCTCCTTTGGCACCACCGCCTAGGTCACCATGCGCTCTCGCGTCTGCGTCACATGTCCCAGCACGGTCTTGTCCTTGGTCTCCCAGGTTCTCTCCCCGCGTTTCCTCCTCCCCAGACCCCACCTTGCACGCCTTGTGTCGAGGGTCGGCTTCGCCGTGCCCCCTCACTCCTCCTCGTTTCCCCCTACCGCCGCGCGCTGCAGACCCTACACCTGGACGTCTGGGGCCCCGCCCCCGTCCCTGGGCCACGTCGCGAGCGCTACTTCCTTGTGCTTGTCGACACTTTACTCGTTACACCACAGTCTTTCCCCTGGAGCGCAAGGCCGACGTGCCTGGTGCTCTCATCCCCTGGCTTGTCTCTGCGCGTGTCCACCGCGGTCTCCCTGTCTTGCGTCTTCACTCCGACCGTGGTGGCGAGTTTGCCTCAGGTGTCCTTGGTCGCTTTTGTCGTGCGGAGGGCATCACCCAGACGTTCACCCTACCGGACTCCCCACAGCAGAATGGGGTCGCTGAGCGACGCATCGGTTTGGTCATGGAGGTGGCTCGCACCTCCATGATCCATGCCGGTGCACCCCATTTTCTGTGGCCGTTCGCTGTGCGCTACGCTTCTCACCAGCTTAACTTGTGCCCGCACCCTCAGCAGCCGCAGGTTTCGCCGACCCGTCTTTGGACTGGGTCTCCTGTGACGCGTCTGCGTTCCACGTCTGGGGCTGCATTGCTCACGTCCGTGCCTCCGGCACGGACAAGCTCACTGCCCGCACCCTTCCCTGCGTCTTCCTCGGCTTTCCCCTTGACGCGTCTGACTGGCACTTTTACCACCCGCCGTCTCACCGCTTCTTTCACTCTCGCGACGTCACCTTTGACGAGTCCGTCTCCTACTACCGTCGCTTCCCCCACCGCGGTCCCCCGGTTACCCCCCCCTGTTTCCTGGTCACTCCTTCCTCGGTAGTCCCTGCCCCTCCCCTCCTCCTCCCCGTCCTGCCCCCTCTGGTGTGTCCCACGTCACCCCCCTTCCGTCGGTGGACCCGGTTGAGGAGTCTTCTGACTCTGGTGGCCCTGCTGCGCAGTCCTCGCCGGCCGCCCCTCCCCCGGCGTCCCTCCCCAGTCCCCTCCTCCACCGCCTCTGCCGCCGCTGCAGCCGTCGTTTGCTCCGCTGCCCGCCCGCCGCCGTCGCAGCACCCGTTCGTTGACTCTGGGGGTGCTAGTCCCGGTAGCCCTGGGGGTGGATCCTCTGGGGTGCTGGTGTGGAGTGTGCTGGTGGTAGCCGCGGAGCTGCTTGAAGTCCCGGTGTCGCCGTTGTGCCGCCGCAGCAGCAGTCCCCGCCGGTGTCAGCCCTTCGCCTGCTCGGCCTTCCGTCCCCTGACCCTGCGGCTGTTCCTCTCCGACCGTTTCCTCCTCTTCCTGTCTACGGCCCTGTGTTCCCTCCGCCGGACTCGTCCCCGGCCCGTCTTCCTCCTCGTTCCCCCTCCTGTGTCCCCTCCCCTGTCTCCTGACC